CATGTAATTGTTTCTTCTGCCTAGGGGGGCCCAGCACCGATCCAGTGTATCCGCGCGAAGCTCCGAAAGTCTACGTCAATGCCCGTATTTCTTCTTCGAGCCATCTAGGTACGTACCCCGAACGAAAGCAAGAAGTTTACGTTGATGCAGATGCTTCTTCTTCGAGCCATGGGAAATGACTCGAAGACGAAAGCCATCCAGAAGCGGAGAGAGCGCACAAGGCACAGACTAGAAGGGCACCCAGGAGAATCCAGAATTGAATCGACGAATCGGATCTGCGATCGGAATCGATAAATCTGATATCGTATCGCCGATCGAAATCGATACATCGAAACCGATACATCGAACCGATATATCTGATCAGCAATCGAAATGAGTCGGATCGGCGGAAATCGGTCCGCTCGTGAGAAGACGAAGCGGCGGAGATCGGCAGGCCGGTAAGGTGTCCACTGAGACATCGGAATCCAGATCGGAATCTCGAGTCGAATCGAGCCGGAATCGGCAGCCATCGAAATCGAATCGAATCACAGGACTCAGGACGAGCCCTGGGCACCCTCCTCTTCCACTTGCCATCCCTAGGATGTCCATTCCGCGCGCATGTTTCGGTTCCGCGCGTTTCTTCGCGAGATGATCCCAGATGCTCCTCGACGGCCCTCGCGGAGCAGTATTGCACGCGTCCGAGCGATGCCACGCCAAAGCCAGGGCGGCTCTCAGCCTCTGCGCAAGCTGCAGACGCTCGGCCACCGCCGGCGCTCGCGGGGGGGCGGCGGGAAGGAGGAGGAGGAGGAGGAGGAGGAGGAGGAAGAGGAGGAGCTCAACGCATCAAAGGAGGAGGAGGAGAAGAAAAAGGAAAAGGACGAGGAGGGGGAGGAGGGGAAAACAGAGGGAGGGAGAGAGAGGGAGAGGGATGGGGCGGGAGGGAGGAGGAGGAGGAGGAGGAGGAGGAGGAGCATGAGGAGAGCAGGGGCTCTCCAGGGCCCCAGGCGAACGTGAGGGGGTGACACAGCCCAGAGGGTGACACATCGAAAAGCGGCCACGCATCGCCGAGAGGTCGGCGGTTGGCCCCCGAGAGCGCGAATCCGCACCGTCGATGGGCGGGACGGGCTGTCGGACCCCCACCAGCGATGAGTGGGCCTCCTGGGGGTCGATGCTTTCCCCCCCCCCTGAGAGCCCATCCCTCCCAGCGTTGCCCCCGACGACCTTTTGGAGATCGGCCCGCTCCTCCACAGCGCCGACCACTGCACCCCCGACACGACGGAACACGATCGGGGGGGCTTCGGGCGGCGCCCACCTGCTCGGAGAGCAGCCGGGGGAGCCAGAGGTAGGCGTGCGTGCCGTACCCAGGCAGGGAGATCAGGTCCAGCGACCCTCCCAGGTAGCGCGCGAAGAGGCGCGACAGCGGTAGGCCGACGCCGAAGCCAGCCAGCTCCGTGGCCTGCGTCTGGCCTCCAGCCTTCGTGGCCGTGGAGTAGAGGTAGGACCAGACGTGGGAGCCCACCTCGAACGGGATGCCCTTCGCCTGGTCGCTGGACAGAGAACCACAAAACTCCTTGAGCCGAAGCTTTCGGAGGTCTCCCCTAATTTCTTGGGTCAGCGCTGGGCCCCCATGCCCACACCCCTGGCGGAGCCTCTGGAACGCCCCCCGGGTTCGCTCCGCGCGACGGGGGAAGGGCGTGGAGATGTGGGCCCAACGCCGACCCAAGAAACACGCGCGGACCTACGAACGCTCATGCTTATGATGTGTTTGGCTCTCTAGCTGAGGCAGATTGCCATATTGTGCTCGTCCGCGCACACGACGATGCTGATCGGCCTCCCTCGGAGCGCGACGTCGAAATCGATCCCCGGGCCACTGTCGCGCGCGGCCTCCACCGTGGCACGGCAGCTGTTCTTCAGCAGCTCCACCATGATGTATCGCAGCGCCGCGGGGATGTACGCCATCTTCGGCATGCCCTGGTCCTGATCGGCTCAGCCCACGACGCTCGAAGATCTCGAGGACATTGCTGCCATGTTGGCCCCCCCTTGAAGCTCTGGAAGGCCTGCCGAAAGCTCTGGATAGCTCTGGGGCCCTCGAAGCCTCCGAGGACCTCTGGGGACGACCGCGCGACCGCGGACGCCCTGGTGCCAAAGCCAAGGGCGGCACTGAGGAACAAAAAAAAAAAAAAATCGTACTCCTCCTGGTCCTCCTGGTCGCCCTGCCCCTGCTCCTGCTCCTGCTCCTGCTCCTGCTCCTGCTCCTCCTCCTCCTCCTCCTCCTCCTCCTCCTCCTCCTCCTCCTCCTCCTCCTCCTCCTCCTGCACTGGTCGGCCTCGGCGCCGTCGTCGCCACCGCCGTCGCCATCGCCGCCGCAGCCGCAAACGCACCGCCCGGTCCTTGCCCACCGCCGAGTGCGCCTCTATCCTGACCACAGGGCGCCAGCCCGTGTGGTCCTCGCAGATGCTCTGCGCGTCCCGCGCGGCGACCTCGCACACCTCCCGCACGTTGCAGTCGAGGTCGACGATGCCTGAGATCACTGGCACTACCCTCGGAACTGGATACCGCACAATAGCGACGCCTGGCTTTGTCACGTCCTGGCCTTCTGGAATCCGAGCCCGCCCTCAAGACTGTCAAATTAACTGCTCAGCGAGAGAATGCCCCGGGGAAGCGGTCGAGAAACTCGGGAGGGGCACGTCACGAAACACGAGCAACGTCCGAAGTGGGGGTGCCTCTGCACACTGGGCGAAGATCCCCGTGTGACTTTCTTATCACCCTTTTTCAAGTTTTACCCTCGACACTCGGGATTCGACGAGGAAGTTGTTTGGACGGCGCCGGCATGTTTGGGAGTTGCTTTTGGCGCCTCTTGTGCCTCTAATGCCTTCAGGCCGCGGGACCTCGTGGGGTCAAGGTCGAGGACGGAACAGCAACCTGCCAGCTTCCCGTGTTGCTGCTCATACTCCTCGTGCTACTAGTGCTACGGAGGAGGACGAGTGTATGGGATGGGGGAGGAATCCACCACCGTGCCGCTGGGCACGGCGCGTGCTTTCTCTTAGGTCGGGCCTGTCCCCCTACAAGAGGCTTCTGGACGAAAAAAATAATATTCAAAAAATACTCAAAGATGCCCAAAAATACTATTAAACAAAATTCGCCGCAAACACCCACCAACTTCAGCCCTTGCTCCGATACAGCCCGGCCAAAAAAATGGCTGAAAAGTGAAACATCTGCTCGATTGTGTTGAATCTGCTTCCCCTCATGGGGGCTATACCAGATCCCATTGAAGCGCGTACGGACACGGGCTCGTACCGGTCAGAGGCTCAATCGCAAGAGGCGTGAAAAACGGCCTGCGACATTAAAAGGGTCAACTCGTAGCGAAGCCTGGCGGCCGCTGTGGATTACCCTACAGCTTCCACGCCGCTCCTGGGGAAGAGGGACGAAGAGAGAGGAAGAAAAAGAGGAGAGGGCGAACGAGGAAAGTGGAGATACGTAACATAAAAACCTGCAGAGAGCCTCAATGCCGAAGCAGAGGAGCCGAAACCATGGGCGGCCAGCGTACAGTGCAGCAGGTTAAAACATGACGCACATTGCGTTAGTTGTTGTTCAGGTAAAGGCTACTGGTGTCGAGCACGAGCTCAAGCTCATGCACACCGCCTCGATACACACAACCTGCAGGCCTAGGGCCGACAGAGGATGCAGGATCAAGAGGGGCCCAGCGACCGGCGAACTCCGACGCCGAAGCTCGGCGGAAGGCGGGCGCCGCCATCCTGCAGCTGCCAGCCTGCGTGCGGGGCGGGCCCGCGCAGCGGGATGACGATCCCGACCGCGCGCTAAACAAAAGGAGACATGCACATGCAACGGAGCAGCCATGCAACTCGCAGACACAGAGCCGGAGGGAGGAGGAAGGAGGAGGAAGAGGCAAGCGCGGGAGGAAACAGAGGACAGAAGAGTTCGAATCACCCATTCTTGCGGCAAGGCGCTGAACCGCAGATGATCGCACGCCAACCGTTCTTGGCAGTGCAGCTGCGAATCAAGAGGGAAACTAGCGCCAGCTCTACCGTTGTACCGAAGAGAATCCAGCTGGCCTGGACCCTCCAAGGTACGTTCCTCAAGTGAGCCGCTCGGCATCATCGGCCAGTGCTGCACTCGGGGGCCAGCAGAACCAGGAGCGAAACGCGCATCTGCAGCAGCCGCTGCGCGTCGGCAACAAAGCGCACAGTCGTCCAGCGTCCAGTGCGCCCCTGCGACGCGGAGGACGGGGAGGGAGGAGGAAGGAGAGGAAGCAGGACAAAGAGAAGCGGGCGCGCAGACAGCTGACGCGTGCCTAACGTGCATATCTGCACTCGGCATTGAGATGCAACACGACGGCAGCAGAAACCGACGACTGCGATCTGTACCGACAATGCGCGAGGCGACGAGGAGCGGACAAAACGCGCCTCCCTTTACAGCGTCACGGATTCGGTGCGCCAGAGGCTCGGAAGTACACGCGGGCAAAAAAAACGACGGACGGCCAGAGAGTGACCGGCCGGGTAGACGTCACCAGGCACTCGCGTAGTCGTAAAATAGCGAGCCAGGGTGCAAACGCTCGCGCCGAACCCTTCTGGACAGGAGGGCGCTCCACGACCCCGTAACGTCCAGCCGGCAAAACCCACAGAGGCGGCATCATTGAATGGATTCGGAGCCCGTTGCCTCGGGCGCCACACCCCCGTAGGGGGGACACAAGCCCGAGGAAAGCAAGGGACCGCCCCCCGACGACGACAACGACAAACGACGGGGGAGGGAGGAGAACGAGGAGGAGGAGGAGGAGGAGGAGGAGGAGGAGGAGGAGGAAGCGGGAGAAGAGAGAGGGGGGGGGAAGAGCGGCCCCCTGCCCCCCAAGGCGTGGGCCCCCCGGGGGGGGGCACAGCAGTTGCCAACTGGCTGCCAGCGCTGGCACGAGCGCCGTCGAAGAGACGAGAGCGCACTGGTGCCGACAAAATGCGCCAAAAGCAAAACGCACATGAGCCAGTATGCTGCGGGCCGCCAGACAGAAGGAAGGAGGGAGGGAGGGAGGGAGGGAGGGAGGGAAGCGAGGGCGACAGGGCATAAATCACGGAGCTGGCGCCGAGCCCGTCACGCCCCCTGCGCCCAGACGCGTCCCAGAAGCCGCTATATTTTTTTTGGACAATTTTTTAATTTTACCCTTGTAGAGGGCCAGGCCCGACTTAAGCTTACTCCTCTGAGCCTCAGCCGTCACTCCTGAGGATTGTTCAGGGGACCCGCACCCCTCGCTCTCAAATTGAAGGGGCCCGGGGACACACAAATAAATAGATAGATACAAATAATAGGATTTCCCATGGTTTCCAGTATGACCTGGGTTTTTGTCTTCCCCCCCACTTCCCATATTTTCCCCTACTTTCTCGGGAATCGACGATAAGTTGTGTCTGTGCGTTGTTTTCCCTCCTGACAATCGTGCATGTGCGCGCTCCTGGACCTGGTCCCTGGCAGCTGCAGCCCGCACCGCCCCCTTCACGCCGGCCCGCCCGCCGCGGCGCCGCTGAGGTCGCCGGCCCGCCGGCGTTAGGTAATTCGGCTCTTGCGCGGCCCGCTCGGACCTCACTCGCCGCTGGCGCCCTCGCCCGCGGCTGCGACAACAAGAGTTCCCCCCTCCTGACGAATCTCCCGGGGCTTGGAGCGTGCCCCCTCGGGCTTCCCGCGTGCTCCCCCGGGGGTCTCCCGCGCGCCTCCATGGGCTCTGCCGAGGTGGCGGCGCGGGGCTGTCACGAGGGCCCCAAGAGGCCCCCAAAAACGGTCCAAAAAAGGGCCCCGAATCGCCAGATTGTCGCTCCAAGACGCTGAAGATGGCCCTCAATACATCCCAAGAGGCCTCGAAGACGCCCCAAGGGGCCTCCAAGAGGCCTCCCAAGAGAGTCCCAAAAGGCCAGAATCTGTTTTGTCCCACAAGTTGTCGAAGTTGTTTGGCGTTATCGACTTCTCGGCCTTCCGACGCTCCCAGACGGCCCGAGAGGCCCCCGAGACAGCCCCAAGACAACCCAAGAGGCCCCGCACAGAGCCCCAAAACAGCCCAAGAGAGCCCCAAGACAGCCCACGAGGCCCCAAACGGCCCAAGATGGCCCCGAGACGACCCCAAAAGGGGCCCAAGAGAGGGAACGCGAACCGAAAATTCGAGCCTTCCGCCCCAAGAGGCCCCCAGGAGGCCCCAAGAGGCGTCCAAGACCCCTAGAGGCCCGCAGAAGCTGCAAAAGAAGCCCAAGAGGCCCCGAAACGGCTTCCAAGAGGGCCCCCGAGAGGCGAGATCCCAACGAACATTCAATAGGCTTCATACCCACAGCCGGGCACGGTGGCGGGATGGGCCGAGGCAGTTGTGTCCGCCGCCCCCTGCCGATTCATCGCAGGGGTGCCTGGCGTGCTAGATCCTTTCGGGTTTGGTTTTGGTTCTTTCGCCCCCCAAAAAACTCCCCCTGGGGCTCCGGCGCGCCCCGCCGGCCACCTGGAAGGATGCCGAACATTTGCCCAGAGTTGCAAAGAGTTGTTCCGTTCCAGACGGCTCCAAGATGGCCCAAGATGGCCTCCAAGACGCCTCCAAGAGGGCCAAGATGGCCTCCAAGACGGATAAGATGGCCCCAAGATGCCTCCAAGACGGCCCAATATGCACCCAAGACGGCCTAAGATGGCCTCAAGATGGCCCAAAAAGGCCCAAGAGGCTCCCAAGAGGCCTCCAAGACGGCCCAAGAGGCCTCCAAGAGGTCCTCCAGGAAGGTCCGAAGAGACCAAAATCATTGATTGTCCTAAGGTTTGGGAAGATTGTGGCATTTGCGCCTTTTCGGCTTTCCGACGGCCAAAGACGGCCCAAGAGACCCCCGAGGTCGCCCCAAGATCGCCCAAGAGGCCTCCAAGATGGCCCCATGACGGCCCAAGAGGCCCCCAAGACGGCTCCAAGAGGGCCCCAAGACGACCCACGAGGCATCCAAGACGCCCAAGATGGCCTCTAAGACGGCCCCGAAGAGCCCCAAGAGGGCCCCAAGTCGGCCCAGAAAGGCCCCCCAAAAGGGCTTCCGACGGCGTCAGGCGGGCCAGGATCCCACCAAGACGGCCGAAGATGGCCTTAAGATGGCCCAAGACGGCCCAAGTGGCCTCCAAGAGGGCCTCCAGGAAGGCCCGAAGAGACCAAAATTACGCTACCGAGGAACCCCACATACTTAATTTAAACCTTATGTGTGTTACTGGAACTCCTCGACGGCAAGTACTCTGGATCAGAAGCTCGCTTGGCCGCGAATGCCTCGTACCATGTGACTGCTTTCGCATCCGCTTTCGTCAACAGGTTCTCGAGCTGAACTGATTATCGCAGGCCTTGCGACCAAGGTACTTCTGCCCAACGGCGGTCCGTCTGAGCCAGCTCAGGGGACAGCTGAATGCGCGGGGTACCCGTGGAACGAACAGAGGTAGCAACCAGAAGTGCTGGGGACCGCTGAGGAGTGAAGGCCTGCATGGGCGTGCACTTGATAGGCGTGTCCTGCGCGGGCGTGGCAACGC